AAAGTTTTTTTGTTTGTTGTTGTTATTGTTTTGTTTGGGGTATTGGTTTGGTTTGGTTTTTTGGTTCTTTTGATTCCTGCAAGAGAGATACTGGTCTCCAAATAGCTGTAATTAAGGATGCATGAAATATGCAAACTGAGAATGATTTACAGCACATCAGCTTTGTTCTGAAGGAAAGACAGAAAACAACGACATGTCAGTGAGAAATTAATGTCTTTAGAATAATTCATTATCAGGCCACGCATGCCCATAACAGTGGAATAATACATAAAAGAAAGTAGAATCATAGAATATCCTGAGCTGTAAAATACATCTATAAATTGTTAAATGACACAGTAAAAAACTAATTATAATCAAGTGCATCATAAACAAGTGATTGGCCTCGAGAAGGACCTCCACTACACACTTGGATAGGACACAGTGACTTTGGGTGTTCAGAGTGTGACTCCAGGGGATTTGACTAAATCATCTTCAAAGGAAGTTCTGGTGATGATGTGACAAAACTACTGAGAATATTGACAAGATGAGAAAAAGCATCCAGATATGACAGCTTCTGCAGTTTTCAGCCTAAGCTCCTTCTTCATTCCTCTTCCCAGCAGAACTGAACCTCCAAGATGTCTTCTCTAGACAGAAAGTAAAAAATAAAAATAAAAAAATAGTGGAAAATGTGGCCCATAACCATTTGCAAGATCAAGGCCCTACATGCAGAGAAATTAAGAGATGTACACCCAGGAGATATTTTGTATCAGTTTCTCACTTTCTATTACAAAATGAACAGCCAGTAAGAGGAAATGCATCTGAAGAGAATTATTGCTCCCTAACTTTGAAAAACAAGACCATCCCACAGTCCGGGCAATTGTAAACACTAACACATAATTCAACGAGTTTTGCACAGCTGGACAAAATTAATTACCAAGAATCAATAGTTTAATCTAAAGCAACATCATCTAGACCAAACCTAGTTGTTTCCATACTCATACAAAGTGGGAATTCCAAACGAGTTGGGTTTGTTTCTTATTTGCTTTGGCGTTTTTATTCTGTATTTCTATAGACATCCCTCTCAAAGTCAGGTTCTGAAAAATAATAAAAGGCCAGAATTCAGCAAAACAGAGTGAGGAGAAAGTACAACACAAACAGAGGTTTTTTTGAAATCACCAAGAGGAGGAGGGAAACTAGAAGCTAAATACTTTTTTCTATTGTTCAGATTAGGACCAGCTTTCTAGGTGCTACAAACTTGCTGCAATAAATGTGATCTAAATATGCAAAAAGGTTGATTTAATTCACATCATATTCAAGTATATTAAGTGCTTGAACACTGCATAGCTTTAAGAGCTTCCTTGCTTCAAACACATTAAACTTTCCCTATAAAGGAGCCAGGATACTCTTAAAATCTTCCCTTTGAATTCATTCCTTTGGCAGATAGGACTTGGCCAGAGTGAACCTGAGTGTGAGAGTTTTAATGTATTAATACATAAAAAGCAATTTCAAGTGAAAAAGAAAAAAATATTTCTTCAAAGGAAAAGAATATGATGGCCAGAAAAATGTTTTTAGAAATGCAAATGGAAACTTGGCACTTTATATTTCCATATGTTTCCTGCAGCCAGGATGAATTCCAGCAAGTTGTCCTGGATTCCTGAAGAACAAAGAGGAAAGTAAAAAAAAAAAATCCTAAGTCAAATTAGGCAGGAGCAAAATATTTCTGTGCTGAAGGTATAGAGAAAATTTCAGAAGCATCATAAACCCTGCAGCATTATGAATTAATTGTGAAAATGGAAAAATATAAAAAAAAATCAGCATAGTTCCTGAAAATGACAGAAAGCATCTGAAATTTCCTTTGCTGAGACTCATTTCAAAGCTATCAAAAAAAAAAAAAAAAGAGACATTTTCATATTTTGATATTAGATAAGTTGATCTGGAGACATTTTGCTCTTTATTTCAAATGTTTTTAACACAGTTGAAACAAAAAGTGAGAGAAGATTCAGTAACCCAGAAATTTCATCTTTTGCTGCTCACAGGCTCTAATTTCCTTCAGTACTTTCAAGTTTTGCACCCAATAATAGATGTTGGATGAGCAAGCATTATACATGTCAGTACAGTAACACAAGTCACATCTACGCTTCATGAATTCAAAAGGAGTTTCTTGTTTGTTTAAAAAAATAAAATAACTGCAGAGGTCTTCAGAAAATGTGTTCTAAAAGTGGATCCATTTGGTATTGTACAGATGTAACTACTGTCCTTCTAAAACAACTTTTATACTCCTAGGACCAAGTCAAGCAGAGGGAAGGTTTTAAACTGAGCAAAGAGACCTGGTTTATGGTATATGGTTTATATTTGGTAGGATTTTAATATCAAAATCAAAATTTTCAATTAATTTGCCTGATTTTCCAATATATTTTCATCCATAAGACTATGTTTAATGAAATTCTTTTGAATTATTTTCCAATTCCCTTAACCATTCCTATTTCTACATATTCACCTCAAAGGCTTTTGGTGCATGCTATGATTGCACAAATCTACTGATATTTTTCTAAATCCAGATTAAGTGAATGAGAAATGTTCTGCTGAAAGAGCTTCTCTCCAAGGCCAAAATCTACCAATATGCTCACCAACATGTATTTCATTCAACTATATATTTTCTTTTAGCCTCTTTCATTGCTCACTAGCTTCAACCTTCAATATGTCAAGCATCACCAATAGGAAAAATACCTTTCTTCTCTGTTTTTATACTTTTGATACTTTATTTTCATCTTTTGAAATAAAAAATATTGGAATAGCTACAACAGACCCAAGATTTAATATAGATGACAAGGGTGTAGAAAAGGTAAGATGCTTAAGTTTAGATGTGCTAACTGAGAATTTTAGAAAGGATGAACCAATAAATTCCTGAAAACCTCCCCTTTAGGGCAAACCGCCAAATTTCTTATTGCTTTTGAAGACTTTGGCTAAACAGTAGAGAATGTTTAGCCTTTATTCAGTTATTATATATCGCAACATGGAATTTGCCGTATTCCAAAGTTATTCCTGGCAAGTTTCTTCTGACTCTCAATCCTTTCCAGCCTGGCACTCCATAACTTGATAAATACTTTAGCACTTGGTCTCCCAACCCAACATCCTAATTTCACCTTCACCTGCTGTGAGCTCAGAAGCTCAGAAGGAGGCCAAGGGCACCCAACAGCACAACCAATTAATTGCAAGGAAACAGAACAGGACTGACCAGTGCAAGAAATAACTGAGCACTGGAAAGGTCAAAGCAGTCTGATTTACAGTACTGTCATGTTGTGCAGGATGCATGAGGCATTTCAGTGCTCATTTCACATTCTACAGTGACAATGTCTGCAATGAATAGGAAATGACATATTATGAATTCATTCTTGTGATGATAATTGTAATGAGAATAGTGAATGGTACAACAAATCTAATCCATCTTCATGACAATTTAAAAACTGTAACCTGATTGCCATCCTGGGGTATTCTTCAGACATTTTCTAAAAGAAAACGAAATATGATAAAGAGGGAAAAAAAATATTGTCTTTCCTGGATACGTTAAAGCAATATTTCTTGGAAAGGTGTGTGATCTGTGCAAAACTTTCACCAAAAAAAACCACAACCCTTCCTTAAATTACATAGAAACTTTGATTTTCCTTTTATTTCAGCATAGTATGTTGTAACTTTATTAACAGAATCTTAAAGGTCATCAACTCTAACTCATGCATTAACAGAGGATAAAGAAAACCTTGAGTTATTCCAATAATAATCAGATGTTCTGTATGTAAGATAATAGGACACAGTGATGCATTGCATTTAATAAACCTAAGTAAGGAAAATCAAACTCTACATAAAGCTTAGTTACCTTGCAGATTTCAGAACCTTTTTCTTGGCAGCGGGAAAACAATCTTTCAATGAAAGGTACAGCAGTGCACTCACTGAAACTTCAGAAGCAGTAATTTCTGTCCCCACAGTTTTACAGGAAACAGGAACCACAATATTTGCTTATGCCAAGCTATTAAAAATGTCAGCCCTCCCTCTCCCAAGCACACTACCATCTGATGTCAATGCTCAGAATTAAATATTGGCTCCACAGCAGGCCCTTACAAAAATGAGACTGTGACCCTGAGGGGATCAGGACATCAGCATTGCTTGCTCATGGCTTCTGGAATCCCCTCTGTCTACCACTGATGACACTCACACAACACAGCTGGTCTAAACTACCCCAAACCACCCCCAAAAATCTGAAATTAAGTCTAAGAAAAGCTTCTCTGAGGTATTCTTCCTCTTATTCCCCATAACACCAATGTTATTTTCTGTTTTAATTTTATTGTTTTCTTAATGTCTGAGTAATTGAATCAAGTGTGGGTCACAGCACTGCTCCTAACCCAGGCTTGAAATCACGTAGAGGAGGGCTCATTTAATGGATCATTGCTCACTAACTTTATATAGCATTGCTTGGATTGCAAACCAGTTGTGTATCTTGTTACACAGCTGATGGTCTTGTAACCATGCTGCTGTATCAACTGAAATTTATGGTTCTGCTTAAGATTTACTTTGGGAGTGATTTATTTTGTTTTCAAGAGTAATTTGTATTCCAAGAGGGCCTGTTCTAGTAGAGGCTGAAATCATTCTCCAAGAGGTTTACATAAGCAAAAATAAAAATTATAATGACAGTCTGTAATTTTCATGGATGAACTTTTAATAGAAGTGCTCTGGTAAACAGCGACAATTTGTGTTCACTTGTAGAATTAAATCACTTGATATGTTGATTGTATTGAATTAGTCACTTGTATAAGTCATGGGTGTTGACTATTGAATTTTTTTAAAAGGTCTTTATTGATTTTTAAGGAGAAAATGCATTTAAAAGGTGGCCCAATGTTGTAATTCTGCTCATTATAAAGTGCTAAATAGCTGAAGGGGACTAAAATAGTATTTGGGAAAAGAGAATCTATTTTTAACTAATTAGCTTTGAATCATTTGTCTAGCTAATCCATGTTCTCAATCTATGGCAGTGTTTGGAAGGTAATTGAAAACCAGTCTTCTAACAAATGTGGTGACTGCCCTAACTAGAAGAGATTCCAGTACTCAGGAAAGAGAACAGAAGCAGCTGCAAATGGCAAGTGCAGGACGAGGCCATGACTGGTGTCCAAGTGATCACTGAGATGCCCTGAGTGCACACACCCCAGGTTAGTGCTCACACTCCACATCAGACAACAGCCTCTTAAATTCACAGCTCACTGACAACAAGGTCACAGTGATTAAACCCCTTGAAGTGAAAATACACACCTAGTCAATATGGGAACAAAAATCCTTCCCCCAACCCAAATGTTTGTTCTAATTTGAATTAATATTTATCCTGTTCAGTGTTAGTAATTTGAAGATTTCTGTAATGATCTAAATATTATTGGAGTTTCAACACTTACTGCCTTCTTTACTTTGCCTGTATAATTAAGCTGTATAAGAGCAAGCAGAAGAGATTCCTGGTTGTGTGTGTGTGGTAGGGGGGTTGTTTGAGTTTTTTTTTAATTTAAAAACCAGTCATTATTGCAATTCCAGGACCGGATGAATAACGTATGGCTCTTAGAAATAGCATGGTACAGAGAACATCTTAATATGCACTAACTAGCACTGAACAACTGTTGTAAGCAAACAGGCAACATAAAGCCTTTTATCAAGATAAAGCAACTAGACAACATTCAGAAAAAAAGTTATTTAGCAGAGAGCCAAGAATTGGATAGAAATTTTATTTGGAAAAATATCATGCTCTGCCAAATTTCACTTGGGTCAAAACACAAAGACTGAGCTAAGGAGATGAGTCAAACCTACCTGCAAACAAGACTCTGAAAGAACCCAGCATATTTCTTTCAAGTTTTATGTTATTAAACCATATTTTTTTTAGATTCCTGAACTCTTCCTCTGTTATTCCTTTGTTCCTTGGAAATCCTTAAAATTTTTTTGTTATAGCACATTTTTTTTCCTAAGAATCTGGTGAGTTAATTGGTTTCTAGCATGACTTCTAAACCTGTATCAAATGAACTTGGAACTGGGACTGTTGTAAATTGTAATGTGCAATTCCTGGAGGACTGTGCAATTTCTATTGTCACATCTCATTTCCTCTTAGACCTATGATATCTGAAACCTTGTCTTGATGAACCCACCAAGTCTGGTGTGTTTTTGAAAACCCACAGCTGAGCAATGGTTTGTTTTCAGCACCAGGGGACACAGCCTACAAACAAAGATAATATCCAAATGGCTGGATCCACCTTACACAGAAAAATCTCTCACTCTGCATTCCTTTGTTCCAATGTGTGTGCAGTCTCTTTATGCTTTAAAAAAAGGCAGGAACACAACAGCAATTGGAGCTTTGGATCTTATAATTGTTGTTGGAATCTCCACAAAAACTGCTGTGCAATTTCCTGATTAGAAGCATTTTGTAGAAGATTCTAATTGTTGTTTTCTCCCGCAAAGAAAAAGAAAACTGAGTAGATATACTTTTAATTATCTCCTAAAATAAAGCAAATGTTTTTTGAGAAAGAGTATCAAACTAACTCTGCATTAACATAAGAAGACAGAAAACAAACAAGTAGCATTTACTTAATTTTATTTGTATTTCTATACATCTGACAGACTTAGTCATATTTTAAGCCACCTCACATAATCTACATGTACAGTGTCTGTAAATAATTTGCTAAGTTCCACAAGCCCATTAACATATAGCTGTAGAGCAGTAAATGAAACAAAGTAAACACTCCAAGACTTTGGTTCTATCACCAGTTCTCCATGACAATTTCTACCCCAGTTTCAAAACAGGAGAATTTTAATGGTTACACATCCCTTACTTTTATCTATGTATGTATCTATGTAGCTCTCCAGAACTACAGATTTCTACAGAACTATACATTTATTATACCACTGAATTAAACAGAAGTCAGGACCATAATGAAAGGAGTAGCAACACTGAAATGTGTTTTGTCTCCTTCCTGGAACTTCCCGCAAATAAATATTTGTCTTCCTTATCCTTTGAAAGATGCTGGTGCTTGGAAAATTAGCTCCTACAGTCTAAGCTGCTCTGAACAAGACTGGAAAATCCACGCTGGTAATGATCTATTTTGATCAAGCCCTGCTGAAGTTAATGGAATTATGCTTGTTAGGGTATTTCAATGAAAAATGTTTTACCAGACACCCTGAAAGCAAAACTACTTTTTTTTGCAAGGTATTAGTGTTGATATATTTATTCAATCTTTCTTTTTGGAGTGAAGTGACTAGTGTTACATTATTCTGTGTATTCCCTAGGGATGCAAAAGTTTTTCCTTTAAGGTCCTAAGGGATCCATTCACATACAAAAAAGTAAGCAGAAGTGGGGCTTTAAATTTAAGTCTAAAGTAACTGGGTTGTGATCACAAACTGCCAAGCAGAGGCTGTAAGGAGACTTTCTCCTTTGGGCATGCTCCTGACACAATTCTGGTTTTCCTCCAGGAGTTATTTCTACTCCACCACCTGCAAGGACATAGCAGGATAAAAGAATGCTGCAATACTTCTTAGGACCAAATGTTATGTGAAATTCTTCCAGTTAAAAGTTCTCTCAAGTCCTCTCTTTGGGAGCAGACAATAAGATATTTTAGTGTCTTAGGAACTTCCAAGAAAGAGCTAGACAGCTCTTGTTCCATGATCAATTTCATGTGAATAATCTGCCTTTTCTTTCTGCCTCCATGGTGAAATTACTCATAGTGAGAGCTTTGGTTTTCAGTTTAAATTTGGGATGCATTTTTTTTTTTTATTCTGTTTGAGTGGTTGTCAATTGTTTAATTGTTATTTGGTTGGTTGGTTTGTTCTCTGGTCTGTTTTTAGGTTTGTTTGTTTTATTCAGAAAAGTCCATCATATCATTAGCCCTGTAATTTAGGAGCCACTTGAATAATAAGAGGTTGTATTGTTTTGTCATTTTTATTGAACAGGATCTCTCAGCACACAGCAGGCAGATTAATGTCACTGGTCATCATTTAACTACTCATGCCCTCTTTGATTCATTCCCCGAAGTTGTAGAATTGATATTAACTTTTAAGAACTGGACAGTAAGATAAATGATTTTGGTTTTGTTTTACCTTGAAATAAGAAAAAGGTCAGAAATAATTTATCTTGGCATGACAGAATCTGACCAGGCACACAGAACTTCCTGACAATTTGCTTAGGGAAAACTCTCACTGCCTCCAAGCTGAAACACCTGGATGTTGACCCTTGAAGCCCTCTCCCCAGCCCTGCTTCTTTTTAAATTCTCTTTGGTGTGCACTGATTTAAAGGGAGTAAAAGGTGATTGAGCACAATACTATTTTTGACAGAGGCAGAGACATTGGCTAATTCCCTCTGGTTCAATCCTCTCATCCTTTGCAGTGTGGACAGGACTTGGATCTGCTCTGATGTTTGGACTTATTGGACAAACTACAAAGCAACACTAAAAGCTGTCTCAATAAAAACTGCAGGCCTGTGTTTGGCCATACTCCACCACAACAACCTGTGCATTGCAGAAACACACTCTCCAGATCTCCCATCTTGTGTTCAAATATGACAGTCTACTTCCTTTTGGAATTTTTTTTCTTTTGCTTTTCCGTAAAAATTTGAGAATAAAACTGAGAATTGTTATGAATGAGTCTGGTTTTGCAAGAAGAGTCACAGTACACTCCCAACTTTTTAATGATTTCGATTATTTACTAGAACTGGGGGAAAACCTGACAGCCTGTCACAGACAATGCTAGCGAAGTTGTTTAAATCATCTCTAGGCATGTTCTAATTTAGCTCATTATTAATTTCCTGCCAGGAAATCACTGCCCTAAACCTCTCTAATTCAGACATAAGTCATTCTAAACTCTCACACAGACAGCTGATTGAACCCAAGACTTTTGTCTCATTACAAAGCCCAGACGCTTTCAGGCAGAAGACTGTTCTAGGCATTTAATATTTTGAAACAAAATGTACTGTATAATTAATTGAGTATGAAATGCATTGTTCATCACAGAATTAGTTTATCTTTTCAAGAGTTTTCTGGCTGTATGCAATCATTCACATTTCACAAACTGCTGTAGGTTTATGAATTTTCACTTTTGATACAATTGAGTTCTAACTGTGTTTGCAAAATGAATGCAAAATGTTATCTGGAGGCAAACTGAGAGAAACCCCTCTTGTTCTATCCGGTAAAACAGAATGTTAGGTCATTAATCACCTTCTTCTTCACTACTTCTCATTTTTTTGAGTGAATGATTTGTATTCCAGCCATGTGGGGGATACTAGCAGAGAACAAATAAATCTGAACTGACAAAGCAGGAAATATTTCCTAATTATTTAGACTGCTGAAGAGAACTAGAAAGCAGAGACAAAGAAAACCCACAAAAGGATTACTTTGTGAATCATTTAGTTTGCTGGGTGTGAGATGTGCTTGTCATGTTAACTTCAGTCATCAACTTTCTTCAAAAGACAAGGAAATGGAGACTGGGGTGCCACCAAAGGGGAGGTACCCGAGTGCCCACTCGTTGCACCCAAGAAGAGTGAGCCTCTGCTTGCCAAGTGTCAGGGTGCTTGCTTTGGCCTCATTTGAATAGACAGAAATTTGGTCAAATTCTCACCCATTTTCTGCTTTCTTGTATTTGCCAAATAACAGACTGAGAAAACACTGCTTTATGACACTGCTCTCTGTTTCACCCCTCAAGAACTGGATTATGCTTTCCAGCCTTCAGTCTGTCTTACCAGACCATGTGGATGTGTGAGGCATTTAGACACCTTTTTTTCCCCTTCCCTAATGCCTCCTTTTCTGAAACCTGTGTCCCCTCATCAATACCAAAAGAGCAAATGATACCCAAAACTGTAACAGCAGTCCCTTCATGAGAGCTGTATTCCTGTACCAGCACTTGGTATCACATGTATCAAAAAATACCATGTGCCAGCTACTGAGGTATGATGACAATACGAATGTCTCTGCTGTTGCTTTGCACAAGAAATACTGAGGAACTTTCTTTAACCAGGACTTACATGCCCTAGAGAAACTGTGTGCTCTTCTTTCAGACAGAGCCTTTGTTACAAAAGGAGTGACGGCTGTAGGAAAAATGCCTGCAGAATAAATAACATTTTATACTCCACTAGGTGCTATAATAACACCCTATAGTCTTCCAGGAGATCTTGCTGGTGGATTTGTGCTATTTTGATGATAGCTGTCGATTCACAGTTCCTCAGACCAATTGACAATAGGGTCCCTACTGTGTTATATAAAGCATGCACTTTAGCTTTAAAAGCTCAAACCTTTAATCAAATTCGAAATGCCAGAGTAGAAATTTCAAATCACTGTCAGTATGACTTTGCTCATATCTTCAAGTCTGGCAGTCTCAAAAATACTTTCTCAACTATACGGTATCAAATGGAATTTGTTTAAACACAATGGTGAGAGTTTTTAATAAGGAACAATTTGTGCTGCTTTATTTCTCTGTTTACATAGAGAGCAGTATGTTGAGCCATGTTTCCACTGGTTTTGCTTTTTTAAGTTGAAGCCTTAAACCGTCCTAATCTTCACCATTCTGTTTTCACTGTCAGAACAGCTTTTTTTAGGATTTTTTAAACAAAGTAGACTGACTGATAAAATAATACTAAAATATCCTGAAAACTGCTATCTGATATTCATCTTTTGAGTTACTCATGACTAACACTGTATTGTACAACAAAATCTTTAATTGCCAATCTTTAACACTTCTCCCCAACAAATAAATGCACAACAGACTTTATCAAGCAAAAAAACAGATTTCCAAATTCCACATTTCTACTTTTTCATTCATTTTCAGGACCCAAACTCCATAAGATAATAAAAGTTCCTATCACCATTATCAATCAGAGAGGAATCCAACTATCATTGAGCCATTGGACATTGGTGTTCAGAGGTCATTTTCTTTGCACTGATGTTGCAGTATCCCTCTGCCAGAGGGGAGGACATCATGCACATGACAATAAACTCTCCTGCAAGTGTTACCAATTTCTGAGTAGCAGCCATAAAATCATTATCCTGAAAAGACAATGTGACCACTATAACCACAAACCTGGAATAACTAGGTTTGTAGATCTGATTTCAGGAGTGGTCCCAAATCTTTATTAAGACTCTTTCTTTTCCTTCAGCATTTCAATTCCTGTGACAAAATCAGGAACCTCTGAGAGACTTGATGAGATCAGCTGAAGGGAGCAACAACCAGTTCAGGTGCAATTGCCAGCCTCAGAGGCTTCCCACTGAAATCTGTATTCCTTCATGTACCTGGGATAAGTGACTCATCCCATTCTTTACATCCATGCAAAAGAGTAAACTCCCATGCTGAAACTCCTAGCTGGGTTCAGCACTAGAATTTTTGCAGTCAGGGCAGGGTGTTATATTGCAGCTGCCAGAGTCCAGCTACGGTGACTCCTCTGAAATACAGTTTCAAGCAAAAACTTAAATCCACTGCTCACCTAAAGTACAAACCTCTCATAACAGCATTATATAACAAACATAAACCTCTCAGTGCACCAATACAATTCACAGGTGGTGCTAAATTAAAAATTTTAAACACTGTGAAGGTAGAAACTGCACAACAGAGTACCCAAGATTAAAATTTTCAGAAAAAAATTAAAGGAAGAACATCAAAGAATGCAAACAAACCGTAAGAGGAAAGAAACTGAAAGATGAAAATCCAAGATGTGATATTGAAAAACAGAAAGGAATAATATATGCAGACATGAATTAATGATGTAGCCAGGAAAAAAAAAAAAAAATCAAAGGTGTTTGATACACCTTTTAAGGTGCAAAAGAGGCAAAACAAGGATATGGAAATGCCATGGTGAATTCCTGTTCTCCAAAGTTACAAAAAAGAGTTTCAAAAAAAAGTGTTTCAATAAAAAAACAAACAGTGAAATAACCACAGCATTGGCTTCACCAAAACAGACTAAACAAAGAAATTGCCAAGTAAAAGCACAGCAAAAACCCACAAAAAAGTCAAAGAACACAAGGAATAATAATTATTTAATGTGTTACATGAAAATTAATGAAATAAAACCAGAATCAGCCTTCAGTGAAGGCTGAATTTTAAGAAACAACTCTGAAAGTGAGTTTACTAGAAAGCTTAGCAATGCTGCAAAGGGCACATTGAAATCAGCCCATCAACTGGGACTTAAATGTGAAATATACACGTGTCAGTGGCTTTTCCAGTACATTTCTGAATCTATTTTGAAAGCTGTATGCAAATATCTGGTGAACAAGTGTATCTATATCCCATTTAATGAATTTTATCTTTAAGTGAATAGTCAAGAATCAATTATTTCTGAACAATTTGTAGGTAAAGATAACTTAATGAATATGCATGCAAATATAGAGTGGCAAATATAGAGTGGCAAATACTCTAATGAATATGCAAAACACATGAAGTGTTCACGAGTATTCCCTGAAAACTTTTAATTAGGTACTCATCCAATCAAAGAACAGAAATATCACTTACTTATGTGATCCCAAACTGCAAATCATGATCACAATATGGAATAGTCCCTGCAGTCCTTCTGCAGGCTAAAATAAAATAATTCAAAATCAAATAACACCAAATTAAAATCCATTTTCAGATAACTCTGGAATTTGATAGATTGACAATTAAAAAAAAAATTGTGGGTTTTTTGTTTGTTTTTTTTTCTTTCTCTTTTTCCTTTACTGGCAAAAAATACCCCTCCTTTTCCTCTCCTTTTTCTGTCTCCTTAGTATTTCCTGAGCCTGACTACCTCAGCAGAAATCCATGCCCTGGCCCCAGCTCAGCCCATGCAGAGCAGGTGTTGTGTGGCATTCCTGAGCCCAGGAAACATTGTCCCAAAGCTCTTCTCCAGCAGCACTCGGGAGACAGCACGTATGCAGGGGCTCAGAGAGGTCCTGCTCTGGCTGCCACTCCAGTAAATTTGAGACAGATTATGTCTCTTGGTCTGTTATTGAAGAGCACAATCAACTTAAAACATTTATTTCAGGGGACAAACTAATAAATCACTGTAGCTTCAGATGACCATTAAGCTTGTCAAGATTTCACTTTCCGACTTACATTTCTTGTGACTTGACTCCACACAGGAATTTTAATGATGGCCACATAATGTAATGCCAGGCTGACCTTTCCAGTCGGGAAAGGCTCACCAGTAAACTTTGTGATGACCTAACCTCTAAAGAGGACACCAAAAATGAAAGGAATATGAGCTCAGGCCAGGTGATGGGTGCTGTGGAACAGGGTCCAGGCAATGCCGTGTGCACTGCCCATGCTGGGGGATCTGGCTGAAAGCTGGCACTGCGGTTTATTGCCATTTTCCATAAAATTACATGGTTTACACATGCTTCATCCTGACATGGGTTCAGAGGGCTGGCAGAGGAGCACTGAGATAGCCTTTTAATGAGCAACAAAACCATCAGGAAAAGAATGATAAACTGAGCTCTTATAATTGCTAGTTTCATAGTGTATAAGATATGAAACATGAGATCAGAATGATAATGGCAAGCTTTATGTAAGCAACAGCATTGCTAAGGACAACAAACCCACAAAACCTTTCAAGAACTAGACCCCCTGTTTGGTGGAACAGCTCCACAGAAGGTGAACTCACACTTCAG